CCTCCCTCTTTCAATCAAACGAAAGCATCGTTTATTTCGATGGATAACAATTAAATACGGCGATAACAATTAAATTATTTGCAGAAATTTATGCAAATTTGCATTTTTATCAAGCTGACATCAAGGGAACATTTCTTTTATCGATTTAATACTATAACCAGCACTTTCGACCGCGGATGTTTCACCTTTATATAGTAGATATTTGTACTTTTTAATTTTGAAATCTTTCATCCTTAAGTGATTGATTTGACCTTTGAGGCCGCACGTATAATTTTAAATTCGGTCGATCAAATTCTCTAAATATCTCAAATGGAGCAAACCAAAATTGCTGAAAGTTTGTAACGATACCTTGAGGAAGACAAATTGTACGTATAAAGCGATCAGAGCTCAGACAAGACAGAGGATCCTTCGCGTATTCATGGAATTCGCTGGTTGCATAAGTTACTAAGCATGCCACATACCGTGTGTACCCTATCCTCTCACCGTGTTTACATAAATCGCTCTTGAGCGCTTTACCGGTGTAAAATGTAGTTGTACACGCTGTTATTGGGACGATGGTTATTTTCTGACGTTACTCGCACAAGGTCACGGTCGTTCGTCGACATATTCGTAGTAATTATCGCTGAAAATTTAATCCATTCATCGAGAGACATGAATGAATTCGCGAAACGCGAGAATATTCGAATAATTGTAGAAATGTTATCATAACTATTCATTCACGTCTTCTAAAAATGATCGATAAAATAATGTTAAATGTTGAACAATATCATCGGAGTTCCCTTATTTTTCAATCTGCGGAATTGATCAAACAAACAATTGTAAACGTAGAAAACGTAAGAAAGAATTTTCCTATATTTCCTATATAGAACTTTAATAGAATATAATATATATATATATATATATATATATATATATATATATATATATATATAGTTTAATAGAATATAACATATATAGAAAATAATATACTAATAAATATAGAATTTTAATAAAATTCAGTTTTATAAATGCAAATTAATACAATTCAAATATTTAGATATATTACAAATAATATTAATTATTTAGTTAAATATTATTAATTACATAGACGTAGTATGAATGTAGAATTTCAATATATTATAAATTTATAAAAATTTAACTTGCAACTCCTACCGACTTTCATAACCTAATTGATCATCGTAATCCCCGAAGTAAACAAATTTAATACAAATTAAACACCGTAGAGAAAAGTCTAACAGATCGAAGAAATCCACTCCATCGTCCATGTCATCGAAATTACATAAAACGCAAGCAAATTACATTCGCAAACAAAGATACAAAAGGCAGGTTCAGTCAAGGTAGCCCCGCGATCCTGTCAACTTGTTTTCTCCATCGAGCACTCGCGTGCAATTAGCTTTTATCTTATTTACCTACTCTACCTATTTGAAATTATATAACAATTTTATGAAACACAGTGAAATATTGCATCCGCAAAGATACGAAAGCAGGTTTCAGGAATGGATTCTGTGTTTTGCTTGTTTTCCCTATCGAGTGCGATTAGCTTTTATCGACTAAATGATCGCTCCACCTATGCGATCACCGCGTTGTATATTTTTTAAGAAAACGTTAGGTAGACTTCTGATGCTTATAATTCCACCATCGTCGTCCTCGTTCTCTCGTGGGGGTGTTTTACGTAAGATACTGGTTTTTATCCTGATAAATTCGCGCGGCCTCCATAGCTCTGACAGATTCCATGCACATTCATCCCGAGATTATTGCTCAAAGCTTTTTTTTCTCTCTCTTTCTTTGAAATTCTTCCAGTTGCATTGAAACTGATTTATGGATCACTGATCATAGAGCCGGGATTTTAATTACGATTTCAATTTAAGTATAATTTACGCACTTGCGCGGTTGCAAGTTAATTGAATTGAAATGATGCAATAATCACGCATTGAGTTTCGAGATAAGATGAATTTTTTTTCATTCCTCGGGCAGTTATGAATTTTTACATGTCAAGGTCTGTGTTATTTCACGTAAGCAAGTAAACATCGAATTCTGATGCAATAAGGCATATTTATAAGGATTTATAAGGTTTGACATACATAGTGTTTGTAATGTTATTACTATTGTTTGTGGTGTACAACTTTCTTCCAACAAATCTCTGAAAATCGAAGCCTCTACTCACAATCCTGCCAATAAATTATTAATTCATGTAACTTTATTGTGAATATTTAGTATTGTGTTTTCTTCGACAAAAATTATGAACTTCACTTACATCTGTCGATCATATTTACACAATTTGTCAAAATAGAAGATGCTTTATTTCACATTTTATGCATCATTTCAAATTTTCTATAATATAGCTTAGTTTATCTTATTTTCAATGAATAATATCTTTAATGAATAAATTTGAATTTTTTCTGTTTTCTTTAAAAACAACATACAACTTTTAAAACAACAATACCTCTTTAACTTAATATTTTTAAAAATGAATAATACACAATAAACCAGAAAAATTCAAAAATATCAGTACATAATAAATAAAACTATATAAATAAATTAAATACATAAATACACTACGAAATAACACAATACAAAATCTAATAAAACAATAATAAAACGTTATGATATTTTTAAAGTAAAATAGTTGCCTGTTTTCCAGGTTTCGTTCTTAAAATTATATTCATAAAAACACAACAAAAAGATATCGCTCTCACGATAGTTATTTTCCAATCCTTCACAAATATCCAGAAGCTCTATTTTAAATATCTGACTGTTTCATAGTTGAAAATCGAATTCAAAGGAACAGACGATGTTTCGAGATGAATACGCGTATGTTAATTCCCCTCTTTTTATTGTGAATGCATTGTTACGTGATCAGTTTGCGTATTATTGCGTCGTAATTGCCTGGATGACCTACTGCTTTACCATTTGATTAATCAATGTTGTCCGTAACCATCGTTGAAAGAGATCGTTGTTTCTCCGCGAGAAATAAGTTCTCGCTACCTGATGAAACACTGGCAAAACACCTCGTGTCCCCGGGGGAAGAGAAAATTGATATTTCTGCGGCGCGTTTTGCATAATGAAATCGTATAATAAAACGTGACACGTTACGAAGGCAAATTTAAATTCTCGCCTGCATAATTAGCCGGATTGCCTGTAAACAAATTATAAATTGTAGATTTTTTTCTGCAACTTTGTAGAAACGAATTGTAGAAACGAATTGTAAATAAGACATCAGCGTATTGACGAAGAATTGTAATTGCGAATCTCATAATGATTAAAAATTCGCGTTGAATGTTTGTAGTCTTTATATTGTCATATTTACGTGCATAATGTGTATAATATTTTTGTACATTTTATGTAATAACACGTCTAAATATATTTTATAATTTTATATTTTGTATTTTACATTATACAATATATTTTATGTATTATTTTTTATATGTAATTAATTTATTATAAGTATGTATACAATATTTATATTATATTATAAATATTATAACATGTTATAACATATTGTATTATAAATGTTGTACGATACTTATGATTTTGTTGATCTCGTTATCAAGGATAGGGGATTTTATGGTAATGAAAAAAAGAATTAATATTGATACATATGTTTGTAGCATTGAGATATCAAATTCAGTGAACAGTCGTAACCACAAAATCACAGATTCGAAGAGGAGATAGTTATCACTGATTGAATAGCTCAGTTACTCAATATCACGCTATCAATCTGATCAACTGACTCATATTCTCTCTATACCCTTCAACATCAATTTTTCGATGCACTTTGTGTATTTTATCTTCTTATGGTCTCCATTAATACTGGAGAATATTAAAATATTTCAAAAACATAAACTACTACACACATATCTAATGGCACCGTCGTCGCTAATGACCTCGCTGTCGACGCGCCATTAAAAAAAAAATAGAAGAAGAAGAAGAAGAATACTGGAAACTACCTCACCTCCTCTAAACAATCTTATTTTTAATTATAAGATTTAAAACTTTAAATTCAATCCAGGTCTTCTTTATAAACCAGTTTTAAATTATTTCACCTGCAGTTGCTTCACGAATGTGTATAAATGGACTGAACGAAACTGAAAATAAAATTACCCACAATGGAACCCCTAAATTGACGAATTTGAAATTAGGAAAAATTTTTATTAATTTTATTAATATCAATATTATTAATATTAATTTTTATTAATATCAATTTATTATAGAAATAGAAAGTACTAGGAATACTACTGTTTCATTTGTCAATTTTGCTTACGTGTGTTCTATTTCATAAACTTGATTGTTTGATGTTATTTTACCATTAATTCACCATTGAAAGAAATTTAAATCTCTTTGAAAATCTACATTTGTTATGAAAACCTAAATATATTATCATAATCACTATTCTATCGCTCTATATTATCTATTTTGTAGTAGATCACACTATCTATTTTATACTAGATTATCTCGGATTATATTATACCATCTATTTTATAGTAGATTGTCTCAAATTATACTATCTATTTTACACTTAAATTGTCTCGGGTTACACTATCTGTTTCATACTATCTATTCCATCGCTCACAACGAAGCTGTCTATTCTTTCTTATCCTTGATTCGTTCTGAAAGTGTCGCGCGAAAGTTCAACATCCACGAAATTAAGAAAACCGAGTTCAACCGACAGCCAGACATTACGATCGCGAGAGCCAAGGATTTTGTGCACGTGGCGAAGAACGCTCACCCCGGCAAACCGAAAACGATCCGCGACGTCAATTGATTCTAGAAAATCGAGCCCGCATCGAGGGGTTACGCAACGCGGCGAGGTGGAGTCGAGCACCAGGTGAAACAGCGTGGCACACAAAGTGGACGACGCTCGCATGACAAGACCTTGCGGCTCACCGCACTACGCCGGGCCCCCAAGCAGAGACGAAGACGTGGCGCTCGTGTTACAATCTGCACGGTGCTGTCACGGTGTCGTGCGTCTCTGTGCGTCCACGCAGCGCGCGGGAAACGCGTCTTTCAGCCTCGTGTGCAAGTTGTAACAGACTCTCGTTGCGACGAACGCGAGTGTTCCCGCGTGCCTCGGTGGAGGGGTACCATTACGCTCCTCCTCTCGTGTCCTCCTTTGGGGCATTTTTACGCGAGCTTTTAGTGCGTTCCCGTGCACGCAGCCAGCAGCGTCGCGAGTCGAATCCTCCTCTCGATTTTCCACCTCGACGTTGCTCTCCTCGCGGAGAAACGCGGAGAATTTTCGCTTTACGCAGTGAATCATCGTTTCGTTGTACTTCCCTGCACTCGATTTCCTTCTCCGTTTTTTTTTTTCTTTTTTTTTTTTCTTCGAAGCGTGCCTTTTCCCGCGACGCGCGCTTCATCGCTCGCGCATGCTTGAACGCGTTGGTGAAACGGGAGAGTGCGCGCGATGGGGGATGATCTAGGATCCGGGCAAGACTCTCGCTGGTGAGCTCTCCAACGATCGACGAAAGTGAATCTGTAAATGGAATTTCGTTTCTCGCTTTGGGGAGATTTTTCTTTGGTTTCTGTTCTCGGTAATTTTATAGAGAGATCGAGCATCACTGAGAACTATCTCAGAAACTCGTCAATTTCACTTTTGTGACTTTTTTTTTTGAGCTTTGTTGATTCTCGAAAAGTGTAGAAAATAGTTAATATTGCAGCACGTGAAATAGAGATTTTTATTATTAGTGTATGTTATGTAGAATTTGAAAATTTTGTCAGCCCTCCGAAGGCCAAGAAAATATCAAATTTAATATACGATGATAAATTACGTACAATTGAAAGCAATTTCGACAGTATAATTGATTGGCTATAATAAATTACAGTATATTAATGACAGTATACTAATGGTCGATATAATCGTAATTTATTATAACGACAGTGTGATATTAATGATCAGTGTTATTGATAAATTGAAAATCCCGCTACAGTAACATAATAAATTACAAATATATAATTTGAAGTACTGTTACGATTAATATTAATTCAAAGTACTGAGAAGTTTTTGAAAACAAAAATATTTTGTACATAATTATCCATCAGTGACCTCTCGTGGAGTGTTTTATAGCGTGCCGAAGAACCCAGAAACGCGACCATTATACTCAGGAAATAAACCGCGAATACTACTCCATCCTCTAGCTCCCAGGCTTCTCCATTTCATCGGCTATCTATCTCTGATCCCTATTCGAATCTACGGTCTATCGAACCTAGGTATCCCTTTCTATTGGCACTCGTGTCTCCCGGCGTGAATCGAAGAACGTAAAAATTATACGCTACATTTATGTGTCATAATTTGTCATAAAAACAACAGGAAACTAATTAATCAATATTTCACACAGTTACGTGATAATCATTTCGTGTATTTTCGTAGTAAAAAATAATCATTTTGAAAGATTTATTTTTAATGAAAAAGAATTGCCTTTCATCGCAATATTTTATTGGATTGGCAGGATTTGATATTCAGATAAGTAGAGTCAGTCGGTACATAGTCAGACACTAACTAAAATTTCAATAAATGGAGTTTATTATAGTTTTAAAAAATTTTGTTCCATTATGAAAACGTAATAGAAGTACTATTTACTTTCTAATGCAAATGAGTGATCAATATGGTGTCATAATTTTGGTACCCATAATTTTTTGATTCCACTCAAAATCACTGTTTTATTCTTCACCTACATATAATTCTCTACAATATGTAATTGCATATTATGTATTTACGCTACCGTGTATAAATACTTGAATAATTTTATATTATTGCAATATAAAATACAGTGATGAATAAATCTAATGAATCTCTTTAATTTAATCTTAACATGTATCGTATATGCACAGCATTTTTTTTTACAGCGTGTCATGTTTCTCGATGCACGCATAAGATCAGTGTTAAATAAATTTGATCTAATAAATATTACGAGCTAAGGAATACAGAAATTCATAAAATTTGAAAATTTTTAAAAATTATACTTATTTGTTGCAAATCGTAGAACGCTCAATGCGTTATTTATATTATGAAATTAAGAATTTAAGAATTTTCAAACTCGTATTTATTTATTGTGAATTACAAAACATTGGAGACCTGGACAGTGAACCCTCTCTGACATCCTTCAATTTGAAAGTTGCACGTCCACATGTTCACGTATGAAAAATACTTGTTGCATCGTTATTGCGTATCATCAATAGAACAAAATTAAACGTCAAGTGAAATTGTAATTTCAAATAACTACAATTGATCAATAATCTCCTTCAACAAAATTCTAATTACAGAGGGTTGATAAGGGTTGGTAAGAAAACAATTGTCTAATAATCTCCTACTTCCAAATAAGTGAATTTCTAATTATAGAAGGGGTTAAACAGGAAGGGCTAAAACAATTAATCAATAAATAATCTCTCGAATCGCTCTCCCCTAGATGATCAAAATTCCAATTACAGAGGGTTGACATAATTAATAACAATAATCTCTCTCTCTCTCTCTTGTCTAAATGAATCAAACTCTAATCATAGGGAATTAATAAATCAATTAATCAATAAATAATCTCTCTCTCTTAAGTAATCAAAATTTCAATTACAGAGGATTGACAAAATTAATAACAAAGCAATTGTCCAATAATCTCTCTCTCTCTCTCTCTTTTTCTCCTAAATGAACAAAACTCTAATCATAGGGAGTTAATGAAACAAATAATCAATAAATAATCTCTCGAATCACTCTCCCCTAGATAATCAAAATTCCAATTACAGAGGGTTGACAAAATTAATAACAAAACAATTGTCCAATAATCTTTCTCTCTCTCCTAAATGAACCCAACTCTAATCATAGGGAATTAATAAAGCAATTAATCAATAAATAATCTCTCTCTCTTAAGTAATCAAAATTTGAATTACAGACGGTTGACAAAATCACGTCGCACATCCCTCTCTCTCTCTCTCTCTCTCTCTCTCTCCCCCACTTTCAATTCCCCACTAGAGCAATAACTTCGCTCGCCAGCGAAGAACAGAGGCGACACATATGAAAAAAATATAGAGAATAGAAAACGGAGGGGGAAACGTGTCGGATTATCCGGTGGCCGGCCAGATCGGACCTAGAAAGGCGGTTGTTCTAAGGTTTCCGCGTCGGCCGTAGGAAGCCAGCCCGTGGACTGTGGCTCGTGCCCCGCACACAGTCGGACGCGAAAATATCGCCCACGTTTTTAGATCCCGTGTGTGCATCGCTCGCGCATTCTTAAACCATCGTCGGTTTCGCGAGTCTCCGCTCGGTTTGTCGCGCGCGCGCTCGCACGCACACACATACGTAACGCGCTTTCTTCGCCCTCTCCCTCCCCTCGCTCCCCCCTAACCCGCCCCGCCCGGCCCCCTTTTCCACGTGAGGATGGATCGTAACGAGAGCGCAAACGAGGGCGGAAGCTCGCCGGACACGGTGATCGCGCGCTCCTCGTCCGAAGAGGAGCGGAACAGGTTCGCGTGCAGCACTTCCGGCGAGTACGTGACCACCGTCGGTGACAGCAGCTCGAGTTTGGACACGGTGACCAGCGCCGGGACGACGACGAACGTCGCCGCGAACGATCCACCGGGGGCCGATGACAAGAAAAGGGGAAGATTCGGCAATTTGAAAAGCAGTTTCCGCAAGGAGGGAGGGCTGTTCAAGATCAGGAGGAAGAACAGGCAGCTGGACGAGCCGGCTGCTGTCGAGCCTCAGCCGGATGTCGAGGAAAAAGGTTTTATTTTGTGGAGTTTTCGATTGGAGGTTCTTCTTTTTCGATTGCGATAGAACTGTGATTATCGAGCATTTGTTTCTGTAATTGTCGAGAGTATGTTCTGAGGTTTCTTTTTTTGGCTGGTTTTGGGCGTTGGAGGATTGTTTTTTTAGGGAGGGGGAGAGTGTGGTATTGGTTTTGTTTGACGAAGTTGTGGCTTAGACAAGTTAAAAAATGTTTAATTATATAGTTTTCTTTTTTTTGGAGGGTTAGTTTTGATCGTTGCTTGGAGTGTAATTTTATTAGTTTTGTTTTACGAAGTTGTGTCTAGACAGGTTACAGATTGATTATGGCTTTAAAAGAAGAATGATTGGATAAATTAGAGATTATCTGATCTTCGAATAAAGTTTCGTTTTGCGATTAGTAGAACATTGACATTTGAATGTTTTTAACAGTTGAATATCTCTGTGTAATTAATGAATTAAGTTTCGAATTTAAGAAATTTTTCAAAATTATTCCAATATAAATTGCAAACATCTTGGTTAAATTGTTCTTAATTTGTTTAACGAATCTTATTTCAATTTAGTCCATCTGCAAAAAATTTATTTTTGTGGTAGCTTTAGAAAATAACTGAGCTTCGTCTTCTCATTAGCATCTCAAACGATGTAAATTGATTCTTGAACTGTGATGTTAAATTAGGTTGATTGTTTCGTTCTTTTCTTCTTATTTCTTCAAAGGTTAATTTACTAGAATCTTTATCATCAATCTGATGAGATCACTCTATCTCAATGTAGAAAAGTTACCTCGAACACTTGCATTTGTATTTAATAATATTAAGATCAATTTGATCTGTTTCCTTGCTCATTTACATTGAGAACAAACTGATTGGAACCACTGGTAGTGATTTTGAGGCTTCTTCAGGTCGTTATTCATGGACTTGCTCCTTCTTCTCATTATTTACAGATCTGCAGATTGACAATTACTCTACAATTTTCAATTTATCCTTTTCGTCCTTTTTAATCGATCAACTTGAATATTCTTCTTTCAGTTTCTCCTTTAAATCAATGATCAACTCATTAGTAAAAAACTTTTATCTCCTCAATTAATATTTCTTTGCAATAGAATCTGTCTTTCAGTAGAATTTATTTTCAGTTTGGAATAATCACTTGGCGAATGAGATCGTTTGAAATAAGGAGAAAATTGATAACTTGAGAACGATTTTGATCGATTTTTTAATTGAAATTATCTTGTTTGTTATATCGTGGATTTCTCCGATCTTCATTTAGATTGGTCACGTCTCTCGTAAATCAATCGTTGTGGTACTTGACACGTAAAACGATCGACAGGTCGAACAATTGCTCCTCTCGATTTATGAACGAATTCTTTGAAATGTTAATCTTCTTAATAGCTCCACTGCATCTAGCAATTATCGGGAGCTATCGAGGTCTCGTTAATTGTAACGGATTTATGCAATCAACTTGTCTTTTCAATACCATTTTCCCTCCGGCGCGCTTGTAACAAAACGTGATCGCCATGAAACGCGAGTAATAATAATTATCAATTCAACACGCGTAATTTCAAAAACTCAATCGTAAATCCATCACTCACTCAAGAAACACTTAACTTTCATAATTCATCGAGCTCCATCTTAACATTAGTTCTAGGGAATCGAAATGTAAAATTTATAGTAGAGAAAATAAAAATGAAAAATTAGTAGAGCGGAGAAAAAATTTAGAATACAGTAAGGAGCACAGGCTTCTCTCTATATGTTTTACTAAAAGTCATTCTCTGGGGTCTCTGAAAATGTACTATTATAAATGGATAAAATCTCCGTAAAAAATTCTAAATTGGTCGTTTTGACTATTTTGGTGATTTAATCTTGTAAAATTCAGAATCAGCACCAACTGATCAGAGACCGTCAATTTGCATTAAAAGTCCCCTAATCTAACCAACGTATCTATGTACATAACTTCGGAAACTCAACCATTTAGTTTATCGCTCGCTAAAAAATCCCATTGAGCTTTATATCAAACCCTCGAATATTAAAACAAATCTCGGAAGAATCTACCAAAAATTGACCAGAGATCCTCTCTCTGTCTCTCTCTCTTTCTCTCCGTCTGACGTGGCAGAAACGGGTCGAAAGCGGAGTCCGGTGGAGGAGGACGATGATCGCAAGGGCGGTGTTGGCCCGTCAACGTCCTTGAAGAAGAAGAAGAAAAAGTCGCACTCGTTGGTGCGCAAGCTGTCGTTGAACAAATTTCGTCTGTCGACGGAGCAGGAGCCGAGGCACACGCCCGAAGGTGGTGACAGCAGCCGATCGCAGAGCCAATCGTCGCAGGAGTCACCTAGCCTCTCGGACAGTCCGTCGAGGATCGCGAGGAAGGGGCAAGAGACTGAGAGGCTTGAGTGCGAGGCCGAGGCGCCTCCGCGTGATACCGCGTTACACCAGGTGGACGAAGAGAAGGGAAAGCCGAGGAAACCGGAGAAACCGACGGAGAAACTGGTGAGCACGGTGACGGTAGTGCAGCGCAAGTCGCCGTCGTTGACCATCAAGAGCTTTTCTTCCAAGAATCAGAACGGTGAGCCATCTCTCTCTCTCTCTCTCTCTCTCTCTCTCTCTTCGGTCTGTATTACACAGATACAGGTACATGCGTATATACTCTTTTGTGGCCTCCCTTGTTCGTTTCTTTCTAGTGAAACTTGACTCTCGCAAGCTTCAAGAACTTAACGTTAAAATTCGAGTTTCGGGGCTGATTGTTGGACGAAGTTCAAACTTTCGAAGCTTTGAGCTCTTAAGGTTGATTCTGTGAGCTACATTTGGTAGCCTACGATATTATTTATTGTCGTCATTTCGCGCAATGTAGACAGCCAGTGTTATTAATTCGAGCTTTTAGAGCCACTGCTCGCTCACAAGTGCCTCAAGTATGGCATATTGCACTTGTACAATTTAGACAGCTTGAGTCTCTGAGTTTAAGGGTTCGAGTAGTTAGGAATCTCAGTTTCTTGCAGCTCAACGTTGCTTGAACTTTTGAGGTTCCCATTTTTGAACTGCAGGCGCAAAGCTTATTTTAACAACGCTAATTCTTTTTTTTCCGCTCTGTTGTTTGGACAACTCTCTTTCTCTAACTCTTTCCTTGTGTTTGGATTGGTTTTTTAACTTGGAGTTGTGGGAAGGTTGAAGTTGATGGGTTTAGAATTATTTGTATGAAGATTTGCATTCATGTTTCTTTTTTTAATTATTAAGTTTGAAAGATACAAACTTGCAAATGTTTTTCATCGGTAATTAATTAATAAGCAGTCTTATTGATACGAATTTTGATACCTATATTGCGAGAAGATACTAACCTAAACTATTACTATTAAAACTATCACTGTATAAATCTCATGGTATAAAAATCAGCTTACGGTAGCTTTTGTTACTTTAACACGTAATTTTTTATTTAAAAATATTAATATTTGTGCAACCAATGCTGTGAAAATATTAATGTAAGTCTCGTTGAATTTTATGTAGTATTCACAAAATTTTATATGTAAAATATATATATATATATATTGTATGTGCAATTTAAGTTCATGTACAACATACATATAATAAGCAAATAATATATCTCTTATTATACATTATATTTAATAGATTATACTTATTATATTAGATATTATATTTAACAGTATAAAATTAATTTCTTCATTACTATATAATATATATATTTTAGATTTTGCGACAAGTAATTTTTCTCTTTCATAAACAAAGCCACTCTAAACACGTACTAACATGTGTATTTAGTGATTCGATTATTTAACTTATTATATGTATTGCATTTCATAATACTTTGTAGAATTTACTATTATGATTTAGTATAGACTGAGTATGTTCATGACTGTGGATATTCGAATAATGCTATTAGCGAATAAATCATCCTAGGTGTAAAAGATAATTAACTTAACCGCTCTAGTCAAAGTAGAGCTTAACCTTAGTAGGATTCGTTACCTAATTAGTTTTAGTCCACTGGTAGCAATAATCTTAATTAATTCAACTTGATCACTAATGATTCTAGAAGTAATGTGATTAACTTGGAATAATATCCTACTTGACTCAAGTATTCAATTTATACCTTACAATGATTATATTTTGTATATTAATCTAAATCTAACTTCAATTTTCAATTTCTAATGTAACGATGCTACATCTAAATTACTTTTAATTTAGAAAATCGTAATACTGTACTCAATTCACATATTTACATAATATTCCATATTCTATCATTCTAATTCCTCATTTAATTTAGTTATTTAATTTCAACTTCAACAAATTGTCCATTGTTGTTTTAGAACATTATTCAATTGTGCAATTTCAAATTTAACGTTCACAACTCCGTCATTATTTAATATCTATCTTTATGTTTACAATTTTATTACATTCACACTGTAACCACTAAATTTCAACGTCTACAACTCTTATCGCCATTCAACGTCTATTTTTATTTTTACCATTTTAAAACACTCACACTTTAATTCTCAATTATTGAATTTCAAAATGAACATCCATTATTTGACATCCATAATTCCATCACTGTTCAATATTTATTTTTATCTTGTTAATCTTCACACTGTAACGCAATAGTTGTCCATAATTCTCGCCGTCATTCGACATCCACACTTATCTTCACCTTAATTTTACTTAACTTCACCATAAACATCCGTCAATTCAACTATATCTTTATTCCCAGTGGTTCTTTGTTTGGGAATTCTTCTTTTCTTTTTTTCATAATGTTCAACTTGAACCGCATACTAACATCCTACAACCTGCGTTCAAAGATGCCACTGTCGCGAACCTCGTCAAAGACCGCCACTTCATCATCATCATCATCACCACCATCATCATCATCATCATCATCATCATCATCATCATCACCATGATCACTAAATGAATCCCACGAACCTCATCGACGATTGAACCCGGTGCGATTATCTGCGTGCGCAGATTCCCAATCGTCGGAGAAGTCTCCACGCCCGGAAGCTCGGTGCAGCTCGACGCTTCCGTACGCGATCTCAAAATGGCCGGAGCAGAACACCGCGAGTCCAGCATCTGCCGAACCGCCTAGAAAGTCGAAGCTGAGCACGAAATCCGAGTCCGAGTCCGCGATAGCGAAGACCTCGCCTCACGAGGTCAGGCGAAAATTGTCCCTGCTCGAAGAGAAACGCGCCATCTTTCAGCGTCGCTTGTTCGAGACGACCCGCGACACCGATTCCGGCGAGACGGTGATAGCCGTCAGCGTCGACGACGACGACAAGTCAACGGCGACGAAGGAGGCAGACGCTCGAAAGAAGGACGAGGGTCGAACGAAGAAGAGAGCCAGGCACATCAGCGTGAAGAAGTTCGACACGTTCTCGACGTTCGAGGGCACGTTCGACGAGGAGACCGGCGTTGGATATTTGGCCGGTATCGAGGAGGATTACACGGAGAGTTACGACAGACAGCACGACAGCTACGTGGCTGCTATGGGGCCGATGATGGGCGAGTCCGCGGAGAAGAGCAAGGTCGTCAGCCAGGACAGCATGGTGAGGAACAACCGCTTGCGCGACCGCCCCGTAGCTTTTACCTCTGCTCACTTCTTCTCTTTATTCTTCGCTTCTTTTATTTATCCGATGATAACTGTCCATTTGGATGACATTATTCGATCATCTGTTTGCTGCATTTTGACTCATTTATTTCTCTTTCTCGATGAATCGAGGAGCATAATTGTGCCAGTGACAATGAAAAATTAGCGAGAATTTAAATTTTAATGTCACTTTGTAAAAGAAAATCTTCTTTTACGAAGTTGTAAATTTTTCATTGTCATTGGGATATGTTCTTCATTGTGTTATTCGAGAAGATGTTTAGTTTTCCTTCCCCTTCGAATTTAAAGTGTTTGACATCGTTGGATGTTTCTTTCTATTGATGATACTTTCGATGTTGGTTTCTCTTCTCGGTGTATTTGACTCTTTCAATTCGTCGGTGGACATCTTTACTGCTGTTTCGTTTTGAAACTATTTTTATTCTGCTTTGACTTTGGCATGATTATTTTATCGATATGTTGCGAACAATATTCTTCTGTTTCTTTTTGATGATTTTCGTTTCTAACAAATTAATGCCTCCCTTTCTCGGTGCTAACTCAAGTGACTCTTTATTGCTGCCTTTATTTTTTATCCTACTACTTATACTGTCACTTACATTATATTAAGATAAATACTTTTATAGATTATAGGTAGCTTTTTTTACGCCTTTTTGATTTCGAATTTTTCAAATTATTTTCTAGATATGTGAGATTTGGTGATTACTTATGAGTATGATTGACACTGGATGTTAAGAATTTACAAACATTTCATCAAATTTGTTAAACGTAAAACGAATCCGATCAAGGAAATTATTATGCATTGTGATTTAGATACTCCATTTCATAATTGAATTATTTATTTTCATCCAGATGACATCCAGAACTTATATAAAGAATTTATATAGCGATCTTACTACTTGTCGAATATATCCCAAGTTATACTACTTGTTCTATCCAATTCTACTTATTAATATCCACTATACTTTTCACTACTATTTTCACAAAATTATATATTCATTATATATTTATATATTTATTATCATGATTATAGAGTATATTATGATTAGAATATATCATGATTATAGAAATATATAGGAATTAATTTGTTACAACAAAGAAATAAATTAACCTAAATTTTTGACCATAAAAATCACATGTGCGTGATAACTACTAAAAAAATTCGATAAAAACTGTTTCAACGATATACTATTTTTTATAAAAATAAAAAAAATATGTTTCCAAAAAGTTTTAAGTAAAAAATATAAAAGTGTGCTCTTATAAGCAAGAGTTGATATTATTAGATTTTCAAACAAATAATATTCAAATAAACTTCAATCACCCTAATTATTATTTATTCTATTTATTCTAATCATTATTCTATTCATTATTTATCTCCCATAAACAAAACCTCAACTGTATTAAACTGTGAATCAATATAACCCTTGTACAGTTCTTTTTGAACAAAATATCAGCTCTTTCTCGATTATTCTACTTTTTTTTATCGTCAATCTTCCGCGAGTGATATCGTAACGTGCCAAACCGTGAAGCAACCATCCGAACAAGTATTCTCCTTCCAACCGGAATAATGACGCGTCACTCGATACTCGTCAAGAACATCTCTCACTCACGGGTGGCTCACGGTGTGCACCACCACCCCTGTGTTCCCGTTGTCTTTGCATAATCAGGTTTCCCTTTCTCGACATCGACACCCGGCACAGTTTCAAAACACCGCGAACATTTCTTTCGATCTATTTGCCCGTAGAAAACATCCGCGTGTAATCCTATGATGCAGAAATCGTAAGATAGACGCGTTCTGCGGTTCCGGTTTTGTGGTCGTCGCGCGTTCAATCTGCTCTCTCTCTCTCTCTCTCTCTCTCTCTCTCTCTCTCTCTCTCTCTCTTCGCTGTTGTCCCATGTGTTTTCCATTTTTCTTCTTTCTCGCTTTTTCGTTTTCTCTTCTTTCCCTTCCTTTCCATCCAGCCGCTCTCGAGTTTCGCGGCCTACCGTGCTCTATCTCCGCGGTGGCGCCTTCTATCTCTTCTAATTTCCAGCTTCTCTCGACGCGAAGCCTAATTGAAGCACGTCTACCCTCGCCTCGGCTTGTCTCAAGAGGAAAACGCGGCGAGTAGGGAAAGGGCTATTGGAAACGAGGAGAAAAGCTATTGAGACGAGTTCTTGGTAGATTCGCTCCTCGAAAGTTAGATTTTCCGCAGCGTTATTATTATTATTATCTCCTTCGTTTATTGTCTCTGTCATCAGCGATTTTTCGTTCGTTTCGATGGATTTCCTCTATCATTCTGAATCATCTTGTTTGGAACAAGTGGATTCAGCCCGAATTGCGTCAAAATTTTTGTAAGACTTTCCCAATAACGAAATTACAGGTTTTTATGTAAATTCGTATGCGTATCGAAATATTTATTGAATTTTACGTCCCAAAGAGGATTACAATTTATTGCGACGAGAAATTTAGAAAGTACTAACATTTAATCGAACACCATAATTTAAACAAACATCGTGATTAATATATTGTAATGTAACGATGAACTATGATAATCTGGTAACAAGTAAATAAAATGGAATAAAATAAGAGTTAATGGAAGAAGCTATATAATCTAAAAATCTATAAAGCTTTTAAATTCATTGAAAAATTAGAATGATGTGACTGTGACGAGGCTGTTTTGCGGCTAGCAAATTTGTTAATGGAGCAGGACAGTTTGACGGGCCTAAAAATTACGAATACTTTGGAGGGCTACTGAAAAAAAAAGTACATATTTAATTGACATGGCTTTTATGGTTTATTTTAATACATTATGAATTATAAAAAGCAACATTAAAAGAGAAAAAAAGAGCCCCTATATCAATGAAATTTCGCGGGCTAATAGCCAATTTAAAAATTAAATCTGCCTTTTCGTTGGAGTTATTTGGAATTCGTTTAAATCGTACACGGGTGCTTTTAGCAAAATTAAAATCTGGCTTGCAGTAATAGTGTGTTTTCGTTATAATATTTTCATTAATATTATCTTGATTATCTGAAATGAATAATTCATCGAGAATTCACGAAGAAGAAAAATGTATAATTATTCATTCAGTGTCTCTAAATCTCTGCGTCTCAAAGAAAAGTAATTAACGAAAAAGGCAAGGAACAGCTCACGAATATAATTATCAAATAATTCTCAGGTAGAAAAGTTCAGCATGAATTTCCAAAACAGCGATGCTTTAAATCGAAAACTGCAGATTAAAAGCATTTGTCGCGTCATGTTCTTGAAACTTAAAATCGATTGAGTGCGGTAACATGTTTCCTGTGATTTAATTGCAAATTCGAAGAATAATATTCTGGCACGAATATGCGTAATATTTGCAAATAGTATAATAATATTATACAGAAATTTCTCTTTAGTAATAGCAACGTATTGCTATAATTAAAATAATAATATTCTGAATATTCATGAGTAATAATTACAATACTAACTATATTATTCTATATATACTTAATGATACGTTACATTAATATTAATTTTGCACATTAATATTAATTTTATAGAGTACAGGTATAACACATTAACGTGAATGAATTACAATACTCGTGAATACAGTAATATTTATTCTTGTTATTAGAAAATTAAGGGGGCAGGACAGTTTGACGGGCCTAGAAATTACGAATACTTTGGAGGGCTAGTTAAAAAAAGATATGGTTTATTTTAACACATTATGAACTATAAAAAGCAACATTAAAAGAGAGAAAAAGAGGGCTCTTATTTAAGTTTTTAACGGCAAATTTTTTTACATTGCCTATCGGTGTGCATGATTCCAGCCAAACAGGATTAGTTGCGACAAAAAGGCAAAAAAAGTTCAAAAGTACACAATATTCTCTAAGGATTGACGATCCAACATTTTTATTTTTGTGAAAATTATGAAAATAGCTATTTGTTTTTGATGTATCGAATTTACGCCAAAAATTTTTACAGTTTTTTGCTTATATTTTTCAAAATTATTAAAAATTAAAAAAATGTTCGATCGTCAATCCCTAGTAAATGTTACACTAAAGATACGTACCAAGTTTCACAGTAATCGGTTGGTTAGATTCCGAGATATCTTGCACACCGTTTCTAAAAACCTAGTTTCGAGAAAAATGCGTTTAAAGTTTCAGAACGTCATTTTTCATATGTATCCTTTACTTGCTTTTTTTTTTACTTATATATCGCGGCTCACAGTTCTTACAATTCACAACTAAATTGAATTCAAGTCTCCTAATATTCGATTCATCACAAGTGATATTACGATTTACACTTTATAATACTGCTTAAAGTTGTAAACAGTGATGCAAATTCAATTATTCTGTATCCGCGGATTTATTATCATACCCCAAAATAAGGCTAGAACCTCTTGTATCCTATTTCTAAGACTTCAAACTACTATTTAAAACAAAACCAAAAAAAAAAAAATCGATTTTTTGAAAATTTCAAACTATCCTTTAAGCAATCGGTTCTGAAAAGATGCAGTTATCGTAGAAGTATTAATTTACCATGTCGTACAGAACTAAAACATGTAGAAGAAACTACATTCGTTAATGAAGTTACTTTCGCGTTGCTATCTGCTGTCTATTTACTCGGTAGGAGCAAAGATTATGTTTTTTGACTCAATTGAACTAGACTCTTGTACAAATAGGTACAGAAAACACGAAACATTGTTTGTCACACCATAGTGTGTTCAATGTATCACGTATCGTTAACTGCATGGAAGATGGCGGATTTGCATTTCCAAACGATCGTTGTCGGTGAATCATTCACCCTGGAGTTCGTCGATCGGTTTATGATTGTCGAACGAACATCGTTAGTTCAGACAAACATACCGATCAGTGAACATCGTGTCTAGCGAGCGTGTGTATTTCTAGAGAAAACTCTCAGCGGCAACAACATGGACGCCAAAAAGAGAATTAAGAGCCTGCCTCGTTCGATTTCTGAATCGAAAGTGAATCCGAAGAATTGGAGGTGGTTCTGGGTTGGTTCTTCCAAGATTCTTCAATGATCAAGTCTTGTGCTCCTTTTTTCTTTCTTTATTTTTATAAATCTTCGATTCTTGTATTCTTTACTGCGCTACAAATACTTCGATGTTCGTTAATATTTTATTAATATTTATCAAATAACATTTTCATTTAAATATTATTTAATACTTTGTTAAATGTATCTCTTTATTCGTTACGCTTTAGTTACTCTGATACAAGTTTAGTATTATATATATCCTAGTGCCATGTTGACCACGTGGATTAATGTTTGCTCGATCGTGAACACGTGATTGACGTTGTGCCCCTTTATTGATGATAGTAATTTCGTGATAGCAACAGCGAGTATAAGTGAGTATAAGGATATAAATAAGTGAAAATAATCGTATTACACGAAGGAAAATAAGTATGTTGCACGAAGAAGATGAAATGTCAGTTTTAATCAATTTTAAGTTCAACATTGTGCTCTTTATCGCTGGCTGTGTCGCGAATTAAAATTCTCCTGGCTTTACATTTATTTTGATACATGAGAGTATAAACTTAAATAAATTTTCAAATTTGATTTTCACGAAAACGAAGGCTTCAATGAAAACATTTTATTCCTTCTTTTCAACTTGTTTTTCCATGTAGAATCGCCTCCTACTTGGTCGTATCACTAGTTACACATTGTATTGTGTATTGAAAGATAAGAAGTACCAAAACTTGATATTCTCTCTTTTTCTTGTGCGTAAGTGAACAATGAATATTAAGTCTGTCGTGTTTGTGCTGACAGGTGTTAAATCGTTTTTATTACGTTCTTTACTTGCTACTTGTCGTTTCTTTTTCACTCGTGACCTGATAAGATAAGCAAATCGTCAGAAACATTGTTGCAAATCTTTATCAGTCACTCGACCCTTTTAATTACAGTTGTACAGATTCTGGCAATACGACGATGTTTCTTATATTTTTTTTATTGGAAAACATTAATAAATTGAAAGGAAAATTGAGAAATGTATTATACAATTAAATTTAAATTTATATATGTTTAGAAGTTCAGGAAACGTTGCCAATATTCCGGAAGTGATCTGATCTTAGTTAACAAATTAATTGATCTACTTCATTTTCTATTTTAAGTAATTTTGAAATTTCCGACAGACATTGTGCAGACTTTTGTGATCGGGTGTCTGTTTTTTAATTAAAATAGAATAAAATAGATTAAAATGACATGTTCCAACGAATAATCTTCTTTCGTTGTAAATAAATGAATCAAGAAGCGTAGAAGAATAATTTTGAAATATTCATTTCTCTGTGTGGGAATACATAGTAAACTTGTATTGTACATGTACAATTACTGTATAATTGTGTCAAACACCGAATAATATAGTTGCATAACAAAGATAAGACAGGAGAAATGCGATAAAAGTAGGCATTATTCGTTTGATTGTGAGTAGCAGACGGAAAATAATGAGAATATTCGAGATAACTGTGGCTTATTATAACTCTCTCGGCCTGAATAATTTTTTTTCTCGATGACTAAACGACGTTCAACAAATAAGTCGATGAATTAATTGAATAATAGCTTGATTTTTTTCACGAGTTTTTCATTAAACCAGTCCGAGTTCATTTAATTTGCTTCAAAATTTCGTCATTCTAAAACAACTTTTGTTAACAAAACTTATCCTCTAAGAACAATAAAATGTTCACGGTGATCAGAGTTGTTCTCCCAATCTAAATATTTTTTTATCATTTGATGAAATTTAATGTTTAAAGTATTGCTCTAAATACTTTGTTGCGTAATAAAATATTTGCAACGTCGAAATATCATGTAACAAATGTGCGTGTGATGAATGAATTGCATTGTAAAGCTTGCGTGTTTATAAATGATAAATTTCCAAAGAACGGCCGCTCGATGGTGCTTAATCTTATTTTCTGTTGTGCACAGTCGTCACAGAACAATTCGCCGAATGCCGGAGTTGGCGAGAAACGAGAACACTTGTATAAAATCCTGGTGATTGGTGAGCTGGGCGCCGGAAAGACGTCCATCATCAAGAGATACGTGCATCAATTTTTCTCACAGCATTATCGCGCGACGATTGGCGTCGACTTCGCATTGAAAGTATTGAACTGGGACCCGCACACGATCATAAGGCTACAGCTATGGGATATCGCAGGTTGGTTCTCCTTTTTTTTTTTTCGTCTCTTTCATTTCTTTGCCGACGCGATCTCTGCCAGCATCGAACGACAACTCTTCTTTTCGCGATAACGTAGTCAATGTAATTGTAATATTTCGTATTTCGCCATTTTATATAATTGTAACATTATTACAATGTATTTTATATATTATAACATTATATTATATAATAATTAAAAAAATGTTAATTGTATGTAATTATGATTCTTCATTTTTTTTTTTACATAATTTATGGATTTTTCACTACATAGATTTTTCATTATTACAATACATTGTATACTATTTGATTTTATAAATTATGGATTTTTTAAATTCTATAGATACTTGAATAAAATTGCTAACACGCTACATAATGTATTCTTTCTTTTCATGTATCATAATTTTCGTTCATTTTCGGAGAAATATTATAATAATTATTCTAAGGTTTTTGAGCAGGAGTGCAAATATTAAAAAAAGTTAGAATCATCATAATTACTATATTCATCTTTTTGTGTCTTGATTTTTATATATTTTTGCTTTAGAACTCATGACAGATTGAAACATACAATACTGCAATATATATATTTTTGACAAAATTGTACTATTATTAAAAAAAAAATAAAAAAAAAATATTTAAAAAAATTAGAATCATCGTAATTACTATATTCATCGTTTTGTATCTTGAGTTTTATATATTTTTGCTTTAAAACTCATGACAGATTGAAACACACAATACTGCAATATATATATTTTTGACAAAATTGTACTATTATTAAAAAAAAATTTAAAAAAAATATTAGAAAAATATTTAAAAAATATTTTAAAAAATTAGAATCATCGTAATTACTATATTCATCGTTTTGTATCTTGAGGTTTATATATTTTTGCTTTAGAATTCATGACAGATTGAAACACACAATACTGCAATATATATATTTTTGACAAAATTGTACTATTATTAAAAAAAAATTAAAAAAAAATATTTAAAAAATATTTTAAAAAGTTAGAATCATCGTAATTACTATATTTATCTTTTTGTATCTTGAGTTTTATATATTTTTGCTTTAGAACTCATGACAGATTGAAACATACAATACTGCAATATATATATTTTTGACAAAATTGTACTATTATTATGTTACTCTTGTATTATTATAATTGTACTATTATTATTATGTTATATTATATTATCTAAAAAGTAATGCCGATCATTGATAGTCACCGTGGTAGCCAATCATTTTAATAGAAATGAAATTGGCACTGAGCACATTGCCTGTGCAACAGACCTCATTGAAGTCTCCTTTCTCCGAAATGGAAGAAATTTCGCAGGAAAGTTAAAACAACTCGAAACAACTGTGAAATGCTCGAAAAAAGTAAATTCCAACTAATTCAACTGAATTTCAATATTACACACACTGATAAAGTCTATTTCCCTCTATTTCTCTCGCTTCGATTGTCCAGGTCAAGAAAGATTTGGAAACATGACGCGGGTGTACTACAAGGAAGCAGTTGGCGCGTTCATAGTGTTCGACGTGACGAGAAGTGCCACGTTGGACGCGGTGGTGAAATGGAAACAAGATTTGGACTCGAAAGTCCAGCTTCCTGACGGTTCGCCGATACCCTGCGTGCTTCTGGCGAACAAATGTGACCAGCAGAAGGAAGGCCTGGTCAACTCACCAGCGAAAATGGACGAATACTGTAAAGAGAAGAATTTCGCCGGGTGGTTCGAGACGTCGGCCAAGGAAAATATTAATATCGAGGAGGCCGCAAAGTTTCTCGTCAATAAAGTGAGTGACAATGATCGATAAATTTAATTCCCATCGCGACTAGAGAAGCAACGTTTTAATTAATTTTCTCAGTTGTCGCAAAGGGGCTGATAAAACGTCCCTTTAATAAAAACGGAGTAGATTGCAAGTAATTATTCATTTAGTTTAATAATTTTCCTCGTTACTTCCTTATTACTTTCTGGGGTAAATAATCTTTTGTTTAACTGTTGCAAAGGGACGAAAGAATGCCTTGTTGACAATTGACAATTATTACAAAAATTACTGGTTTATGCAAGCTCCAGAAAATTTTTCATTATTTGAGAAATTAGAAGACAAGAATTTCTGACTGAAACTATCATGTTATTAACGCAATGGAATTTCGTCGTATCGCATCGAATGAAATAAGCTGAACAACCGTGTTTAACTTACTTTATTTCAAACAGCAAAAGCAAAATACTGCTCTAATCGACACTTTATGGCGTTGTATTCTTTGATTCGACCGCAAAATTCAATTATTCAAAGATAGCTCAAGAAGAGTGCCAGTTTATTTGCGGAATATCGTATCGCCCTCGTGATTAGCGTGCGTACAAGCCCGATGGATTTATCAATGACGCATTTACGCGTCAAGGTGACTCGTCTTACAATGCATAGTTAATTGTTATTCGTTCAGTGAAACTAATTCAGTGTCGTGACATCATCTGTTTGACCAATAAGCTCCCTTCGTTGTACTTTGTACAGATTATTTTATCCATTTTTTTTCAAGTCACAATTGGACAAATCTGTCGGGAATTTTAGACAACAATTGTCGACAATTTTTCATTGTCATTGGTACAGTTACGCTTTTCACTATATATATATAAAAAAAAACAACCTTAACCGCTTATCTTAAGATTAAAGGTAATTTATATATTTCGAATGTATGTATATGGAATCGATTAGGAAGCTTGATTATTAACGCTAGAACTATCTAAGTTAGATTGACCAATTTATAATTTTTGTTAAATATTTTATAGACGTAAATCAGTTAATTTTTAGAAATTCAAACGGTTTTTAAATAAAATATGCAAGTAAAAACTTACTTACTCCGTTATGTTATAGAATTTCTCTCTTTCTTTTTTCATTTTAACGCGTCTGATGGAAATTTTGATGCTTTAAATCGTCGGTAGTTCTACTAACATTTAAAACAATCTTCGAAGATTTTACGCATCATTATTGATTGAAATCGATAACGTGTTACGTTCTACTATGTCTGAAAAAGATCTGTCATTCGACTTTGCCATCGATAAGTCTGATGAATTTGTTCTTGCAGATACTTCAGAATGACCAGCTGATGAAAGGAAACGGCTCTCAGGATCAGACGGACGGCGAGCGGTTTGCGCTGAATCAGTCGCCGACGAGTTCAAAGAAATCTTGCTCCTGCTGACGAATCGGTAATCAACCGATAGCAGGATCGTCCGGCCTGTTATCGCGGTCCTGCCGTCATCGTTTAACCACCACCGGTGCCATGACACGAGAGTCCAGTCCAGTCGTCGTTGTCGTTGGATCGTCTCGTCTCGATCGTGTGACCAGTTGCCTCTCCAAGAAACGAATCATCACGACCATCGTTTTCTCGTCGATCGAGCTCCGTTTTCACAAGATCTCGACGCTTCGTTGCGCGTCGTTAATTGTTTACTGAGAGGTCATGAAACTCGAACGATCTTTGCATTGTAAATATACGTATAAATTTACATTTACGCGCATTTATGGGAGATTCGATTTTTATGAAAACGATGAAGCACGGAATGCTGAGCAGAAATGAAAAATATTGTGCTTGATAGCATTAGTGAAAATAATTAATCTTCTGTAATTTTTGGGAGAGTTACAGAAATATTCGTAACATCGTTTTTTTTTTTTTTTTTTTTTATTTTCAGTATTGAACGATTGACAATGAAAAGACTGAAAATTCTTGTCAACGAGCGTGTTAATTAATTAGCACTTTTTATTTCAAGACTTTTATTTCGTCGTTGATAGGAGTCTTGCAGTTTGCATTGTTCGAAACAATGTCGATCGTTCGATAGTGAACAATTAAAATATCACTGCGAGTGTATTCAAAGTTTGGGAATACTTATTGCTTCGTCGTTGTGTTTCATCGATACATTATAAGTATACCGAGTGAGTTCGTAATAATATTAATTAATTTAGCATATGTAGTAAAATTATTATGTAAGAATTGTCAATTGCTAAATTTCAAATTCCAGCAGTCACGATCGACTAATAATAATTCTTATCTTTTACAAAAGTGAGCTACCGGGGAATTTATTCTTCATTGATTGAAAATTTTGTGACTTAACAACGATTTTGTGAACTTTGATCAACTCGAAAGAATACTGAACAATGAATTTATAAGAAGACACACATCTTATAAATATAAATGTTTATAGAACCGAATTTGGAAACTTCTTGTTGTCTATTTTTAAGCTTAATTTCAATATATATTGAATATATCTTCCAAGTATTCAAGTTTCAGAATCAAGTTTCAAAATTCAAAGGTTCTTTTAACGAGTCCATTTTTAAACAATTTTAACATTGTTCTTCTCTGTAGCTTAGGTCACTTTTACACATCTTCCAAATATTCATCATAGAAATATAGAATGTCAGCTATTTTATATTATTTATTAGCTTTATAAGAAGAGTTTGAAAAGGTGTGACTCGTCTCAGCATTCCTAGCTTACTCGCAGTCAGTCCAATCTTCCAACTCTCCACGTTCTCTCTTCCATCGGAAAGAAGAAAAAAAAAGAAAATTACTATAGAGTAACTCGTGAACAACGAACGAACGAATGAACGACGAAAGGATGCCCGACAGATGACACACAAGGATTTTTACGAGTAATTTTGAACGTTGTAACGGGGTGTAACTTTCAAGGTTGATCGAGAGCGGGCACTGCTCGCAAGACTTTTGCCTCCAACACAAGAGACAAATAATAACGTGACAAATAATAATTAATCGATGTGTGTACACGGTGAGGAAAGAGCCTGTGAACGCGCCGTTGCTCGAATTCTTTGCGATTCTGTCGACACTAGTGGCGAACGATTACGTTCCAGGCGATCGTTCTCTCATAGACTTCAATCGATTCTACGTTTCGTTACTTGCTGTACAGTATTGAACGCGGAGGTTGTTTGCAGGCACGAGTAAGATGAGCTACGATTAATAATTTTCATGTAAAAATGAATGTGTCGCGCTTGAGGGATGGAAGAGAGGGAATATTTCGAGTGAAAATGGGAATTGCAATGTAATTTAGATTAATTCACTGTTTAATGTCAATATTTTCCGAATTAAATTTGTTAGTTGCCCATTTTTCTCTTTTTCTCAATTGAATTTGTCGTACTGGGGTTCTTTATTTTTGACGTAATTTCAAAGTAGAGAGATCAGTTTTAATTCGAAACTCAGGCAATTTTATTTTTATATTTGACTCGTCTATTCCCGTTTCACTGCGCCTTCCTCCGTTTCCATCCCTCGATCTTAAAGGATTATACTAACGTGAAATCCTAACGAATAAAACCCAACCACACTCGCATTTCAGCGGTTTTTATATCAACTCTAAACGCTAAGTTCCGCGTGATTTTTCTATTAAGAAACTAAAGAACGTAGATGTACAATTTACAATTAACGATTAACAGCGTTCACGGATCGAACAACTGTCGATTGTTAAACGCGTAAATTAAGAATTAAGAGGGAAACTTCCCTCTTCCCTCTGGGTTTTATTTTTTTTTTTTTTTTTTTTTTTTTATTTTCAATTCACGAACAGCTCTACGAACGCTGATCGTGACTTTCATTCCAATCGAACTGAGAATACTATCGATCGATTTACTATGATAAGTCTATGATAATTTATACGTATCGTCGTTCAAAAGTATCTGAACGTTCATTCGCTTACCTTTCGTGGAATTCGTGCAGTTTAATTATAAGAGCGAAGTATAATATTGTATAAGTATGATGTAATGTTATATAACAACACGTATTGAAGCAATAATGGTGAAATTCGTTTTTCCTAGAGCAAAATATTTGACGACGAAAATGATGGAACATTAATTTTCGACGAATTTTCAAAATTCTTTGCATTCATTTGCTTTACTTTAACTTTTAAGCTTCGAATTAATAAATAAAAGAGGACTCTACTAACATTGCGGAAATTCAAGAGTATGACGTATATATATTTAGAAGTATACCTAAGAATTATTTAAAACCATCAAATATATTAATTTTATTAGTATTGAAAGTGTCGAGTATTTGGTGTTTTTAAATTTACTAAAAAGACCAATTTATAGAAACTAGTTATTATTGCAAAAAAATTTGCAATTTTCAAAGAATTTACAGGTTGTAAATAATTTCTAAAATCTATAAAGAATTCTACTTATTAATGAAACTTGTAATTTTCTACTGTTAATATTCGTACCATTTTCAAATAAGTAATAATAAATTCATTTGATAATAATAAATTCACATTTAATTTCATTATTTTACATTTCACATTCGTTTTCGCGTCGTTATTATTAGAAAACTCGAGCGAAACGAAACGAATGAAAGGATTGTTTTGCTAAACGAAAAGTGTTCAGATACTTGTGAGCGATACTCGTGATCATTCTCCAACGAACTTTAATCCGTCGATTAATATATATAGATATACATAAAAAAAAAAAAAAGAAAAAAAAAATAGAAAGAAAGAAAGAAAGAAAAATGCCTGTGTATTGAGAATGCGATTGCTAGGAAAACAATTCCTTTTCTACATACATAATAACGTCGACCTAAATAGAGTTTTTTATACGAATCATTGCTAATGTCCACGTAATGCGTGTTCAGTAGAGAGAAAAACGGAAAATACCATGAGTTTCTGTGTTTTCTAAAATTCTGTGACGTGTTTTCGTGTACTACTCCATTGTTTCTCTTTTTATTATTACTATTATTATTATTATTATTATTATTATTAAGATAATACTTTGTTCATACGTATTATATGTTATATACAAATTGTATTTATGTATAAGAAACATGTTATATATATACATATAATTTATAGTAAAGTAACTGAGACTCGATATAAATGGTTAGCTGCAAATTTCATTTCCCCTTCGTTTCAACGATTTAACTCTGCTCTGTCGAGTATTTCTATGGAAATTCTATTTTAATGATAATTTCTTAAAATCACTTACTATGATTTCTTATCTGTTCTAGATCTATTCTTGCTATGATTATATACTAACAGAGAAAAAATTCTCATTCCAACATATCGATTTCTCGAATCTATATTTTTTTGTACGTGCGAGTGATTTTTTTTTTCTTCGTTTCGGCGATACAATTCTGCTTCATAAAAACTGATGAAATTCTATTCTTGATATATTTTGAATCGTATATTAACGAGACGAAAACTTTTAGTGCTGTGATAGAAGAATATAGATTTGTATATCTTTATTTGAATTTTTTTCCAAGTTGATGAAAATCTGTTCGTAGGGAAATAATTGACGCCAGAATTATCGATAAATAAAGCATAAAGCTTGCATCAGAAAAATTCAGAAGTGCAAGAAATAGGAAGGAAGCTTATTATAGAATAAAGAAACATTTCTTATTAAATTTAATAGACGAATAGCAGAAGAGGAATTCTCGTTTCACGTTTCTTGCAAGTACTCGCAGCAAGAAGTCTCGTAAAAAAAAAAAAAGAAAAAGAATACACGTTCGTTCAGGGCTGATTTTCAGCTGAGATTATTCTTTCACGATGAATCTCTTGTTCCTTTGGTCATTCATTCGCAATTCATAGTCATCGCGTGTGCAATCGTTACGTAAATGGCACTCGCGATCCGGCATTCTTTTTTTACTTGATCACTGCCTCGCTATTTTTTAATACGGTAGTTCTCATTGTCATCAGATTTGCCTCTCTACTAATTATGTAAGATTTTCTAACTGAGAATAAAGTGGTTTATTTGATATTGCGCGTCGATCGTCGGAAAACTTTCTTTCACTTTCTATTGGGAAAGTTCGTAATAATTTTTTCAATTCTTCTCCCATTAATTTAGTCTATTTCTTCTAAAATTTTATTTTCTATTTTACACGACAATTAGCACTCTATCTTTTATCTAATAATTTATTTTTCAAATTTTATTATTTAGATAGCTTTCCTAAAATTTTCTTCTAAAATTGATTGTTTAGTGTTTTACCTTCTATCTTACTCTCCAGTATATTATTTATTCCATTACTTATTACTTATTCAATTTCCTATTCCTCTAGTGCCTTTTCTAACGTTTTATTATTTACCTACAATTAATATACTATTTTTTATTTTATATTGTAACATTTTATTGTATCCTTACAGCTTTGTCTCCTTCTATTTTATTTTCTAACGTTTTGTTACTTATTTAATGTTCTAATCTCTCATTTGTATAGCAAATTCGACGAAATTAAACATTATATTAAATTAAACTTACTGTATGCTAATATACTCGTAAATGTAATAAAAATACTTTATACTTTGTATAAAAGTAATTTAAATACTTTATACTTTATATCAAAATGAAATATAAAGTATTTAAATTACTTACTATATAAAATATTAAAAATATTTACTACACATAATATTATGTTATTACACATTACATATTTATTTTTTATTTAATTAAATATAATTAATTATAATAATATTCTAATATCATAATATTATTATTATTATATAATAATATATAATATAATTATAATATAATTAATAATATAATATTATCATAATATTATAATATCATAATATCATATTAAAAATCATTATTCGATTTGATTAATAACAAAACACTAACGACCAACAACCATGATCGACTGTTGTCATTCCTTTATTTTTCGTTTAATAAAACTCACCACTCTAAGTACGCATTATCATCAACCATCAAAACCAACATGTTTATTACCAACATATTACCCTGACAACACTGGAATGAGCGTCAGATTAAAAGAGACACGTCGCTCCGCAGTCTCCGACTTAATCTCTTAATTAGTTTGCCTTCTACCACCCAGATATATCACCATTCGGGATTTTATCGACGTCGCCGAGGTATTTTCACCGTGGTAAGATAACAACGATAAGCGCTCAACGAAGCAGCGAACCCCAGTTCACGAAATTGATTCGAATCGCTACGCGCCGAGTTCGTTGCCTGCTAGCTTCCTCCGCGACCTATCCAACATGATAATTTTAGAGGAATTGGAACACGCGAAGGGTAACACGATCGTCTGGGACGATTTGACAGTGACCGTTCCGCGAAAAACGGGAAACGGTTTCTTGAACGTTGCGCTGAGGACGATTCGAAGGAGATGCTACGAAGAGAGTTTGGTCATTTTAAAAGGAGGTGATACTGCATGAAAGGATTTCTTTTTTTTTTTCTGTCCGCTTCGTGGAATTTTTAATCGACTCTCTAATCAATTCTGAGGAGTTTCGTGATGGATGGTGAATTAATTGAGATTGTGATGTGAATTGTAGTATCTGGTTATGCTGTGACGGGGAACCTGGTTGCTATAATGGGACCGAGGTACACAAAAGTCACTGTTTATTTAGTGCCACGGAGTGGAAGAATACTGATTGAATGTTGCAGCGACTCGTTGCCGTGGTTTAAGACTAGAACTATCAACGCGAGCTTCTGTTTATTTTATTAAAATTCAAATCTCTAGAATTATTAAAATTTATTTTACTAAAAATCACTTGGGTATTGAAATTATTAAAATTTATTTTACTAAAAATCGTGTGAATCTCTAAACATACATTTATACTTTTGTAAATATATGAAAATTCTATGAAACATTATAAATTAATCATTTCGACTTTTGGTAGTTCTAAAAATTTACGATCTTTTTATTGTATCTTCTAATAGATTACTAACGATTATCAATCTTTAGTTTTCATGGTTGATTAATTACGATAGATGAATCTAATAACTACGATTATCAATCTTTAGTTTTCATGGTTGATTAATTACGATAGATGAATCTAATAACTACGATTATCAATCTTTAGTTTTCATGGTTGATTAATTACGATAGATGAATCTAATAACTACGATTATCAATCTTTAGTTTTCATGGTTGATTAATTACGATAGATGAATCTAATCTTTTATTCTTTTCCTTAATTTTGTCATTAATTGTCGAGTATATTGAATTAATCTGTTTCTATAATGAAAAAAAAATTTACACTGCAAGTAAAATAATTAATGCGCGAAACAAATTGCTCAAAACAATATGTATATGAATCATTAACATTTTACAAAATTTAAATTGAATTAAAATTTTACAAAATTTTATTTGTATTGAATAAACCGAGAAATGATTCACGAGAATCTCATTTTCTAGCGGCGCTGGGAAAACGACACTTTTGGCCACCCTGGCTGGAAAAATTGCCTCGACAACTGGAATGGTGTCAATAAATGGAGAAACAGTTTCACGAACAATCATGTCAAAAATATCTAGTTATCTTCCACAGGCCGACGCTTTACCAACCTCCCTCACCGTAGAGGAATTCTTATTGTTCTCGGTATTTAATTATTTCGCCATTAGCTAATTACGACAGACAAAGGCGACTATAACAGATGAGGAATTTTATTGGTTAAATTATAAATGTTAAATGTTAAATGTTAGTTGATAGTGATTAATATTGAACGCCAGTAATTAGCTGTAAATATTACACATTAGTCGTTAATTATAAATATTGAATATTGGCTATTAAATTAGTTATTAAATACCATTTTCGGTACTTAATTTGCTTTGTAATTAATTAATTGCGACAGACGGAGCAAATTGCAATAAATAAATAGATACTAAATATTAGGTACTAATTATATAAAATTAGCCATAAATATAAAAAATTAGTTATTAGTTATTAATTAATATTCTCGACACTTAATTATTTCGTGATTGATCAGTTACGATAGACAAATAAGTCTACGATAAATAAATAAATATTAATTAGAAGTATATACTAGTTATAATATTAAGTATATAAATATATAAATACTTATATTTAGTATATAAGTATATAAATATATAAATATTTATATTAAGTATATAAGTACATAAATATATAAATATTTATATTAAGTATATAAGTACATAAATATATAAATATTTATATTAAGTATATAAGTATATAAATATTTATATTAAGTATATAACTATATAAATATTTATATTAAGTATCTAAGTATATAAATATTTATATTAAGTATCTAAGTATATGAATATTTATATTAAGTATCTAAGTATATGAATATTTATATTAAGTATCTAAGTATATAAATATTTATATTAAGTATATAAGTATATAAATATATAAATAAATATACAAAATATATAAATAAACGTTAAACATTAGTTACAATCATCTTAATTATTATAGTTGTCTCTCTTAATTTATATTAAGAATAATTCACGACAAATCAGGTGGTTTATTCCAGTGCGCGATGAAGATGGACGTTAGCGGAGCACAAAAGAAATTCTTGTCAACGAAATTATCGATGGAACTGGGTCTGATCGATTGTAAAGAAGTATTGATATCCAGTTTGTCCGGTGGACAGAAGAAACGGCTTTCCTTGGCCAGTGAGTTGATTGCCAAGCCAAAGATACTTTTCCTCGACGAACCGACGACGGGTAAGGGAAAATTGAGAGAAAAATCGATTTCAAGGTTCGTGAGAGAAAACAATGTAGGAGTGGTTATAATACTTGATGGTGTGTGTGCTACGATTATTTTTCTACAACGAACAACCGAATATGATTGGAGCTTGATATTAAATATACTAATAAACTATAAAATTTACCACTACAATTAGGAGATATACTATTATAAAATGTACTACTAAATGTATTTTATTAACTATTAACTGTAGAACCATTAAACTGTATCAAAACGTAAATTTAATTCGTAAATTTCCTTTTTTCTATAGAAGTTCAATAAATTTGTATTTCTCGAATAATCTCTTGTCGATTTAAATAAATAAGAGTTTGTATTCTTTATTATTGTATTGAAAATCTTTTTCTATCTTGTATGGTGTAATTTTATTGATATTTCAGTCTTCAATAATTGAACTCATGAAGAATGGAAAATGAAAAATACAAGAAGGAAAAATAAAGAATGAAAATTGTATATAATTAAATTAATCTTCTAAATTATATTAATTTTTGGAAAATGGAATTTCTTATTTGTTCGGTTAACTTGGCTGTAAAATTTTTGTTTATTTTTGTTTATCTCTCCGCGTTTCATTTCTTTTCTCTTTGTGTTTTCTATTTTTTTAATTTTTCCTCGTACGAAGTTAAAAAAATTGCTTTCTTCCAATATAAACTCGAAGCAAAGAATCTCGTGATTAAATTCTAGGTTTGGACACGTTCTCAGCGATGCAAGTGGTGCAGACGTTAAGAGCCATAAGCGCGGAATCCATAATCTTTTGTACGATTCATCAACCAGGAATGGACATATACAGTCTTTTTACCCACGTATTATTATTATCTGACGGACGAACAGGTTACTTTGGTATTCTGGAAGATGCGACAAGATTTTTCTTGAGGTAACTAATTAACTTCTAATCATTTCTACGATATTTTTTTATCTCGTAAATTAAAATTTTAAAAAATAAATATCTTTGGAGGCAAAAGATTCATCTTCATCTGGCAACAGAAGTAATTAAATTAAATTAAACGGGTAGACTAAATTTCTAATCCTAGCTTAAACTTTTTGAAGTACAGTTTTTCTTAATTTTAACCATTAGTATTTTTTACCTTGTACCAGAGAAAGATATTGTAATTTAAATTTGCCTTTTTCATCTAATTATCTTTTCTATTACCTAATGAAAATATTTATATTTATAAATATTTATAAATATCTATATTTTATTTTTACCAAAATAAAAATTGCGTGGAACAATTATTTACATAACTAAAATTTCTCGGTGAGTGTTAATGTTTATTGAAAAATATTTAATGTCTCAATAATAAAATATTGTTTCATGAAACTGAATCAATATCAATTTTGAGATATTACATTTCGAGTGTAACACTGAAACGTCATATTATATTACCCCCAAATATCGTACTGAAATCTAATAAAAGTTTTTCTCAAAGTATCGTAAAGTTCAAACTGTCGATCGAACACAGTCTAGGTTACGAATGTCCGGTTGGCTTCGACGAGTCCGAATACTACATAAAACTCTTATCTCGAAGAAATCCGGAAACGTCCGCGACAAATCCCAATTGCGAGGACGCTGGACCCGGGGAACTTATCGATAAAATATGTCGAGCATTCTCACGATCCCCTCTCTCGAGGATTCCCGAAATCACCGATGGTAGAAATCTCGAAATCGAGCCTCAAGAAAGGTAATGAAGAATTTTTTAACAAGAGAGGAAAAAGAAGGGGAGGAGGAGTACATTATTAAAACATATAGACGACTATTTCTGCAGTAGAAATCATTTGTAGAAAACCTGGATGCACGATACAATTTTCTTGGTTAACGTGGAGGATATGGACACAAAATCGGAGAACGATGTTTCACGGATGGATTGCGTGGATCTCTTATTTCGTAAGTTATTATGATCAATTTTTCTTTACTTTTCTTAAAAATTTCTGAATTTCACAACTGGACGGCGGATTTTCATGCATTTACAATATACAAAAATATAAACTGAAAATGCAAATATACAAAAATATATTATAAATAACTGAAGTAATAATATTCGCTTCAGAAGTATTTAAGATATTAAAAATATTTTCGGAAAATAATTATTCATTCACTCCTCATTAACGAAAGGAGTTTAGAAATTGAGGAAATCCATTTCTAATCCTTATCTATTTTAATTATTTATAATTTTAACTTTCACATTAGTATTTGTTAAAAGATATTCAGTTTTAAATAAATACAACTGCGAACAAATATATTTTAAATAAATATTAAATATTATATATTTGTCACAGTTCTGATATTGATAATAAATAAAATAAAATTAATATAAATTTAGAGGGAACAAGTGTAAATCTGTTTCTTTACGGAACACCAAATACAAAATAATTATCCAAATTATCAAACGCGGATTCATCCTTTGAAATACTAATTTAATCTCACGATTACGAATTTTACTTAAGCAAAGAATAATAATAATTTTCCAAGAACATTACTCACTTGTATAACAATCAAGCACTTTAAATAATTAAAACAATTGAACAGACTGTTCAATTTTTACGAACAGAAGAAAGAATTCATTCCATTTGTCAACTATATAAATAAACACTCAGGCATGGATATTTTATATATCTTTCCATATTGCGTGTAATACTGTAAGTGCAGTTTCGCATCTTTAAATTTCTCGTGAATGTGCATGATGAAAATCCGCCCTCTAGTAATTAGAAACCAGAAGGCATTTGGTCCCCTTCGACACGAAATTCGAAAGCGCAGCGTTCGCGAGCGCAAACTTGCGAACGTTCTGTTAATAAGAGAGCGGATAGAAGATGAACGGCGAGAGAAAGCAGGAAGGTGGTTGTAATTGAAATTAATCGCAGCTCTCCATGGCGGCAGTGGCCAGTTTTTACACGGGGATTAATCCGCGGACGCAGGAGGGCGTGCAGAACGTGAGGGGCGCGTTGTACATGATGAGCTCTGAAATTTCGTTCACGGTGGCCTATTCCGTGATTTACGAATTCCCTAGCCAGCTTCTGATCTACCTTCGCGAGGACGGCGTTTATGGCAGCGGGCCCTATTACATCGCCACATACTGCGGACTGGTAACGTTATGACCTTAGCTACAACTTTTCGAACGAGATCGAACGTCTCGGCTATGACTTTTCACGCGTCTTTAACCTCTTGCGCTGGAATGACGTGCCACGCACGTCCGAAAAATTGCAATATTTTCTCAGTTTTAAGTATATTTAAGTATAACCCAGGCAAAACAAATAATAAATTTATTACTTCTCAATAATTTCTATCCAGTGATATCATACCGATGAGTTCTAAAAAAAAAAAAATGCGACGAATTATTGTATACGGTTACTCGGTCACTCGTTATGGTCCGCAATCAATTGCTTAGCAAGTGGCTAAACGTTTCGAAATTTGATGCAACTCGATACGGCTCTCGCCAATAATTCTCGCCAATAATTTTCTATAATATTGTAGAGATATAATATAATAGATGTTTATTTAATAACAATAACGACAACAAGACGACAAATAATTAAACAATAATGCAATACGAATAACACAAATTAACAACACAAGTAAACTCTCACGCTTTCTCACGATTCTCATCGACTCTCATTTTACAACTTACTCAACTCTCCTCTTTTCAAAAAGAAAAGCGCTGCAGGCCTACGTTGTGCTTCTCGCATCACATTCACATTTTCTCGTATTTCTATGATATATTTGTTATAATTATACATAACTTGTAGCGTGCCGATCTGGTTCTACGTATTTTCTTTTCTTTGACGTACGAGCCGATCGGTGGCTCGCTGTTTTCAACGTTAATGAAGTGCAGCTAGTTCAAAGTAAAGTTTGATTTTTGATATTGATTAAAGAGTGTGAATTGAATCCCTGGAATGCACTGGGTTTGAGGACGCGAACCGGCAAACACGCGGGAAGTTTTCTTGCTGATTTGAAAGTGTGAATAAGACTGTTCTATTTTGTTTCGGAGTCGGCTTTTATATATCCGAGCCCTCTTTGTTTCCTTTCCGATCCTGTGAT